CTGCTGAGGCATGAGCCCTGAAGGATCCTGGATCCCGCTGAGGGCAGAACCATGCCCTCAGTTTTCTTGCTTCAGGGAGCAACAGCTACTCAAAATGAGCATGTTGTGCCTCAGAGGGCTGTAGACACTCATGCAATACATCCAATGCAGAGTGTGCCCCTTCGGTTACTTCAGTTTTCCTGCCCCAGGAAATGGTAAGTGGGTACCACTTAGCTCAAGGTGTGAGCAGTTAAGAGGAGGAGGTCTCACTCTTGCTCACTTGTACTGGTCATCCATCAAATTTTCTTCTGTGTCCTGCAAGGACTGTGGTTGTTCCAGATGTTTAGTGGGTAGGTAGGACCTGACAGAAAAGCAGTGTGTAACAACAAGAGAAGTCAAACATATTTAAGCAGTTCAATCTGAGCGAGGGACATTTTATTTTCCCTCATTTTTCTATTTTATTAAAGCAGCCAAAAAACCTGTTTGTCTCAGACTCAGGGCAGAAGGATGTGGTATTTTTGTTCTTCTGTTTTTTCTGAACACAGAGAGACTTACGCATTTCACTGTGTCACTCTCCAGCTCGTGGGATAACTCACATCTATTTTAATCCCTTCTGAGGAGAAGACAAACTTTCTCAGCCTTCAATGGGCCTTTTACAGATCTATACTTTGAATTACAAAATGGTGGTGAGCTTCTGAAAAAACATTTTCTTTATCTAGAGGAAACTACCATTAGAAGGAAAAATACTTTCTACCAGTAAATCATCAATGTAGTTGGTGATGCTTTCGTATATTCTTATGTTGTCACGTTCAGCAGATTCAAGGAAAGCAGCGTTGAAAGTAGAAGCTGAAGGGAACTGACCACTCACTCTATCAATTACAATAGCACATAGGAAGCCTTTGTTTTGTTGCTCTGGAATGAAAGCTTTGCTACCCAGTTAAAAAAGCTCTTTATTGAATGGCAACTGGCAAGAAAGACTCAAAAGCTGATAAAGCTGAGCAGCTCTGTGCCACGTGCAAACAGTGCAACATGCCAGCCAACTCAGTTGCACTGGGAATTCTTTTTAAATCTGCTGGGCTTTTTCAGTTAAACTCGAGTTTGAAACTTGTCTTCAGGAAGCAGAAACTGGAAACTGTAGTGAGACTAATATAAAATAATTGGAAATGGCCCAATTTCAGTAAAATGTTTATGCCTGTTCTTAATCGTGCTCTTCAGCATTTTGCTGAAGACTTTGCCTACTTAATGTTTCTTTTGCAGAAGAAATGATTTAGACAAATGGGGCTAAGATCACATTCTTTTCCAGATTAGTGGCAAAACAGCCTGTAGAGTCAGGGTGCTTTATACAGTTTCTCCAGGCTTGCAGAGTACAGACAATATTATGTGAAATATTTATTAAAGATAATTGTCCTTTAGCTGCCAAAGACAGCCTATGCCAAGCACAACTGATAAAAGTAATAAAAATTGGATGTGGAAAGTTATTATTGTAAGCTGTAATTGAACAGTGCTTCAGATAAAGTACAGCATGAAAGGACTAGCTTGAAATAAAAAATCTTGGTCTGATGCTTGTGTTTGTCATCCCTTGGTTTAGCACTTTGCACTACATATCTATTATGAGAATGAAAAGCCTCTTAAGAAAGAGGCTCTCCCCACATGTAAGTTGCTATAAACAAATTTATTGTAAGGGAACAGCACATCTTGCAGTGCTTTTGGAGCAGAATGACTCCCCTAGCTAATTTGGAATCAGGCAACAGTAGAGATTGCTGATTTGCTAGTGCATTCTTAAAGATGTCTCTCTTTGCTATGGTTCAACTTGTGGTCTCTCTACACAGAAAGGAAAGTACCCCAAAAATAGGAGAACTGGTACAAAAAAACATGTCCTTGAGTGGAATGTCTCTAAACTCTACTTCAGCCTTACT